CGCAAAGCTTGAGTATAACTGCAATAAGCATTTTATACTTATATATCAATCCCATACGAAGGACGGGTACTCTGCTAGTATCCATAAACAAGCCAACTACAACATTTTACAATCCTTATATATAATACGTGAAGGCGATTTCTACGAAACACTACTCCTCCGTTAATAATGGACGGATTTTTACAAACGACGTGTCAAAATAAAGTATTTTTTGTGTATACGCCCCCTTTCACCAATTCCTGCAATAAAAATCCTCGGGCTTTGCCCCACAGGCCAGCAAAGTTGGAGTTTCTTCCATAAGATTAACATGGGGGAATCTAAATATGTAATTGGAAACTTTGTCCCCACTAATTTGAGAGAACGGCTGGGCGTAGAAACTTGGTAGAGGTTTCCAAAGAAAGGTCTTGGTCTGTAGATGAGTTATCAAAAGAAAAACTAAGCAAAATCCCTCAGGACTCTGCCCCAGAAGCCTTTAAAGATCCCTCCACAGAGTTGTTTACATTTTGGCCATGTGAATAATACTTTTTGATGAAACAGCTGTTCATTTTTAAATTGTATTACAAACAACACACATTCATTGGGAGTTACCACGTTACTGAATTCTACCAAATAATTATTTGCAATGCTATTTTCCAATTTAAAAATTGATTTTCTTCTTCATCATGTCATGTTTTGCAATATAACGTTCCATTACGAAATCAGTGGGAAATTCTTTTATGACAGCAATTCTTCAATTAATTCTTATTGAACTATCTTATATCTATTGTACGGGTTGGTGTCTGCCTTTTTCCCCACTCTTGCCTACATTTTATCATATTATTCTACACATATCAAATATTTATGTAGAAATATTTGCTCTTATCGTGTCTAATAAAATCCAAACATAGAAACCTTGCCTAAAATGGTACCCATCTCGACAAATTATTTGCACCTGCCTATATTACGGAGAGAGAGAGAGAGAGAGAGAGAGAAAATTCTTTATTTAATACAAACTGTTTTGCAGCAATTAATACAAAAACAAATAAAAATATCACATGGGTCACAATGACCTGTGCGTGATAGAGTCCTTAGCTGTCTGCTGTTAAAATAAAAGTTCTTCACACTTCACATAATACACATAAAAAAAAGAACTAACAATAACTTGGTAAAATAAAATAATACTATACAATTATAGTTATAATAACCTAAAAAACCATATGCAACGTGCAATCAATAACAAGGGGTGCACATTGTTTGCAATACATCCGATGAAAGCATAACTTTTTTCTTTCAAACCAAATATTTTTTACTGAGGCGTGGATTCCGTCAAGTAAGAGTGCTGTAGAAAGTACAATAGATAGTCCAGTTATCAGTTGGTTAGGTCTAAACGAGATATTCTGGGCTGATAAGCGACTCTGTATTGTCAAGGCCTATCTCCATCAGCCAATTAGCGATAACCCTCTTATATACACTCAGTGACACTCGCAGGTCCCTAATTTCTGGAGGAATATTACGCAACAAGCAATTAGCAATGTAAAAGGAATTTGTTAAATTGATTTGAGAACTCTTGGGACCCGTAATCCTATCATCACTGAGTTTCTGGTATGATAGTTATGAACTACTGGCGAGGCGATAAGGTCTAAATGAATGTATGAATAAGAGCTAATAAATCCTTAACATATAGCTGCCTTATTGATAAAAACTGGGATTCTTTGAACAGATGATCAGTAGAATAACGTCTCGGTTTTCTTAACGCAGCTCTAATTATTGATTTTTGAATTACGAACAAAGGTTGAACTACTGATGAATAAGTCCCTCCCCAAGCTATTAAACCATACTGCAGATGAGATTGAACGTAGGCGTAATAAACTCTTTTAATTTCTTCATGTCGTAAAATTTGACCTAATTGGTAAAAAACATAAATCATTTTTCTAAGTTTTGTTTTTAAATAATTTATATGACTTTCCCATTTCAATTTAGAATCCATTATAATGTCCAGGTATTTATAATGCGACACAGTTTCAATAATTTGGCAGTTGCAATCGCTGCCTGCGGGCTAGTCTGAGTTCGGCGGGCGGCTCGCTAGCGGGACAAAGTGCGATAGGTAAACATTTTGTTTTACTGACATTCATTGTTAAAATGTTTTCTGAGAACCATCTTTTTAAAATTTGTAATTCTGATGATGCAATATTAAAAACCTCTTCCCAAGTACGTGCCCTAAAGATTACCGCTGCGTCATCTGCAAACAAAAATATTTTTCCAGAAATATCAATTTTATCTATGTTATTTATGTAAATTAAAAATAGTAAAGGCCCCATTGTAGAACCTTGAATAATTCCAAAATCTACATTTATTTGATCACTAATTACGTTATTAATTGATACTACTTGAGTTCTATTGCTTAAATAACTTTTAAACCATGCCAGGGCTAATCCCTTTACTCCCAAATATTCTAACTTTTTGAAAAGAATTTTCCTATCAATAGAGTAAAACGCTTTAGCAAGATCTATGAATGCAATTAGTATTTTTTCATTTTTATTCACTGACTCGATTAAAGTTTTATTGATAATAAATAGTGCGTCGGTAGTATTTTTACCTTTTCTAAACCCAAACTGTTGTTCTGATAGAATTCCATGCTCATCCAAATAATTTTGGAGTTGAATTTTGACACATTTCTCTAACACTTTAGATAGTACACTTAACAATGAGATTGGTCTATAATTATTTTTGTCATCTTTTTGTCCGGACTTATAAAGAGGAATTACCTTAGCTATTTTAAATCTGTTTGGAAAAATGCCTGAAGTAATACTCAAGTTAATAAGATGTTTGAGAGGTAGTAAAATGTCTTGCAGATGATTTTTTAGTATTTTGGCTGGAAATTCATCGAACCCAGGAGCAGAACCGCCTCGCATTTCCCTCACACACTCGGCCAACTGACTGTCAGAGACAGGCTCCAGTCGCAGTTCACGTCCCACACTGAACAAAGCATCGTCGACCAGTGGCGGACCCACGGGCGGTGGCAGCTCGCTCGCCAACCTACTACCAACACTTGAGAAAAATTGATTAAACGAGTTCACACGCATAGCTTTAAGTTTTAAACTAGAACGGGCTTTGGCGCACTGGGTTGGTAAGATTAATGAAAATAACACGACATTTTGGCTGTAAAATATGGTACAAATAGAAAATACCTTGTAAGCAGCACCTGTCATGACAGTATATTTCCTTTTAAACTAAATCGCATAATCCTTTATAAGATACGTTGATTAACAATATGTAAACGTATATATATTTGTAACAGACAATTTACAGTATTTTTGCTTTTTGGAAATGTCCCATTGCTATGTCATTTGCATTTTTTGTTGCCAATGAAGCCGCAAGACCATATGAACTAGGAGACCCCTAACAGTTCAATAATAAAAGCCAACTTCACTTCAAGCATTCCACTACACCTAACATTCCGTAGAGAGATTATATTGACAACTTTATGTTATGGATAAGGCTGAGACAACTAACTGACATCCCCCATGTCAAGTCAAGGAATTCCAGCTTTAACAGTAACCCCACAATCAATTTCTCAAAACTATGCTAGAGGGTTCATTCATTGGCACAGAAGTACGATATGAACTGACGCGACGTGACGAAGGAAAAATTAAACTTACACTGTAACGGATATACCTCCCTTTGAAGTTAGAATATGTCTTCCCAAAAAATATTTTCTTTTGGAATAAAATCATATTACACTGATGTAATCACGGACGTGTTTAACTATAAAAGATCCACCAATACAATTTTAATACTATTTAAAGGTTCTTCCAAAGGAAGAGATAGGTACCATATAACATAGTAATAATAACAGCGATGAGGTACGGCATGGGGATTATTTTATTCATTGAATGATCAACCAAATTTGGAAACTAACTCAATTAATATCATTATTGTTTTTACACCTATTACTCTTTAAACAATGCTAAATGCCAAAATGTGTATATTTCACCCAATTTATCGCAGTTAGATGAATTAACGTAAGCCTTGAAAGTAACCGTCGATTTCGACGGGTTTCACTTAGTATTCTTCATAAGAATAACATGGGAATTTTAAATTAAAATTTTTTTGAATTTTCTTCATAACCATTCACTGAACTCATTCAAGTTTATCCCGTTTTACACCTTCAAACCAAATTTTATCAAAATCCGACAAAAATTACTCAAGTTATCGTCCGGACAAACATATATATATATATATATACAGGGTGTTAAAAAGTCCCTGGACAGTTAAATATTTTAAAAAATAATGCAGATAGAGCTACAATACTTGGTACAAAGTTACAGGGCATAAAACTCTATTAACACATATTCAGTGATCCAATAACTCTTCAGGGGGACGGCCCACAAGGAGTCGGAAGAAAATCTTAAATGGAAGCATAGGTCAATATGCACATCAAATTAAAGGTCTTTTTTAGTAGAATACAATGCCGCAAACCGCACTTCAAAAGGTTGATCCTGCGCAAAATGGCAGATGTTCAAAGATTTCTTGAATCCGCCATTTTGAATCTTTGAACGACTGCCATTTTTTACTCAGGCATTCTTTTGAGCTTGAATTTACGGCATCGTAATCTACTAGTGAAGACCTTTAATTTGATTTCATGGTGTTAGCCTCCGAATCACTTTAGTTAATAAAAATGGTTTAAATACCTTTAACTGTCAGGTGATCCTTTGAGTAGTATATTACACTACAGTAGAACGTCGATTATCCGAATTAATTGGGGATTGGGGGTGTTCGGATAACTGATTTTTCGGATAATCGGTCATTGACGAGAAATGACGGGAATTGACGGGAAATTACGGGAAGGGATAGCGGCCGGCGGCGATTTGCCGATTTTGCGTCAGTGACGTCTGTGGATACTTTACAATAATATAAATTTAATTAATTAACATCCAGATTTATTTTTACAATACAGCAACAAACATGTACAACAGTACTTAGAACTGGACTACAGAATCAGAATGTGTACAGAAAGAAATTTAAAAAAAGTCCAAAATAGATTTTTGCTTTAGTCCAGACACTCGTTTTTTTGCTGCTAAATCTCGCAGTCGTTTTAAAGACAGCAATTGAACAGAATCACATTCTTCTTGCTGCTCTAACCACAGCATTGCAGTCTCTAGGCAGTGAAAGGCTTCATCGTGGGATGGGCCGTTTTCATTAGGGAGGTCGATGTCATAATCCTCTTCTTCATCGTCATCGCCGTTCTCTTGGACGTGAGCTATGATTTCATCGTCCGTCATCACTTCATATCCAGGGTCATCTACATCACATTCAAGCCACTCTTGAATATTGTCTTGATCGCAATCTTCAAATTCTGGAGATTGGTTTATAAGGCCAACCAGTTCTGACACAAATTGGGTCGGGGGCTCTTCAGGTGTAGGAGCAGCCTCAGTTGGGCAAAGCTTATTCCAAGCTTTCTTCAGTGTGGTCTCCTTGACGCAGTCCCAAGCTTCTGCAGCCATATAAACAGCATCCTTCATGTTTATTGCTTTATAGAGCTGAAGAATGGGTTTGTCTTCTTCTTGCCCAAGCAGAACCATCCGTAACAACGCTTTTCTGTAATAACGTTTAAAGCTCTCAATTACCCCTTGGTCCATCGGTTGGAGAACTGAGGTTACATTTGGAGGCAAAAAAACCACCTTGAACTTGCCATCTTCTCTGTCGAGGTCCATCGAGGAAGGATGACTTGGAGCATTATCGATGATTAGCAAAACATTTCCAGAGCTCCCAGTTGCGATGTGTTGCTTTTTAACTTCCGGTATAAATACGGTATCATACCATTCGACAAAAATGCTTGTGTCCATCCACGAGTTCTTTTGGCTTTTGTAGGTGAGTGGTAATTTTACAATTCCCTTAAAGCACCTCGGGTTCTTAGATTTCCCAATGATAAGCAAAGGTAGCCTATGAGTTCCAGTTTTATTAGCGCACACCATTGCAGTGATGCGGGACTTGCTTGCCTTAAAACCAGGAGCTGACATCTCTTTCTTAGAAACTAAGGACTTTGTTGGCATTTTCTTCCAATATAGGCCTGTTTCGTCTGCATTATAGACATTGTTATCATCGTAGCCTTCCTCACTGAGCAAACTTGCAAACGAATCTTTGAATTTTTCTCCTGCTTCAGTGTCAGCAGACAGCTTTTCCCCTTGAATATCCAACTCCCTAATACCATGCCTAGATTTAAACCGTTTCAACCAGCCGGTTGATGCCTTAAAGTCAGCGTTACCACCAAGTTTCGCATTCATTTCTAGGGCTTTTTCACAAAGCAAAGGGCCACTTATTGGTTGTCCTTGTCCACGTACCTGCATAAACCAAGTGTACACTGCGGTGTCCAAGTCTTGGTTTTCCGCCATTTTCATGGTTTTCCTATGTAGGCTCCCATCTTCACTGTCGAGAACACGCGCAAATTTTGTGATGGATTCACTTTTCTTTTTAATGTCAGATATCGTCGCATTTCCAACTCCATATTCCCGAGCTAAACTCGATCCACTAGCACCTTTTTTTAACTGCTCCAATATCTTAAGTTTATCAGAAACACTAAGCACAACACGTTTACGTTTGGACGACATAGTCAGTGTAGAATGAAACAGTACAATAGAAACCCGTACGAACTGTCGCTGTCGAATGCTCACAGGCGACTGAGACTTGAGACGGATACTGAGTCAGTGGCAGTAGGAGTGGCGCGCGCGGCCATAGTGCACGACAATTTCGTCACGTAGGCCCGCCCCGCCTCCCACCCTGCCTCCCGCCTAGCAGCTGTGCGGTGGCGTAGCGCTACGGCCAGTCGTGATTGGCGCGCGATTTTATTGATTTTTGCTTCTGTCTTCCTTTCGGTTAACCGACGTTTCGGATGACCGAGCTTCGGATAATCGACGTTCTACTGTACTGCAGTTTCAGCCCTCAGGGGGCTTTCTTCAGGTGTCGAAGGAGGTCAAAATTTTTCATTCATACGAATTTGTCACATTAAAACTACGAGAACACAAATACGACTACGGACACGAACACGAACACGAACATAAAAACGAATGTAATCTTTAATTTGATGTGCGTGCATATCGACCTATGCTTACGTTAAAAATTTTCTTCCGATTCCTAGGGCTGTGCCCCCCGAGGATAAAGCGTATAATAGCTGTTGAGATAAAAAATGATTTACTCAGTCCTGTAGGCTCAACAGCTGTATAATGTAATTCTGATTATTATAATGTTAGTTTGTTTAAGTTGTTATGTAAACAAACTATTAGTCTATTAAATGGTTCTCTAACAGTTCTTACATTTCTTTTATCCTACTAATAAAATCAGTTTATTACAACAGGTTATGGTGGCCCAGACTCGCAAATAACTGTGTTTATTTATGGATTTGTTAGTAGGATATATGTGAAAGAACCTGTGATTGGTTGTTATTTGTCTTTTTGAAAAATCTTGTTCAGTTGTCTTCAAGTGTTTTGACTACCATGGAAATTTCTAAAGTTTATGTAATTGATAAATTGGAGGGTCAATCCAATTGGATAGATTGGAAATTTCAAGTAGTCATACAGTTTCGAGTTCATGGTATAATGGAAGCTGTTGAAGGAAAGCTTGTATACCCTGAGAAACCAGGTGAAGATGAAGATGCTTCAAAGATGGACAAATATCAGAAACAGGTTGCTGTACTTGAAAAGAAAGAATTTTCGGCACAGAATATCATTGTTTCATCTGTTAGCAGTCAAGTAAGACAGCTTATAAATATGTGTTCAACTGCACAGGAAATGTGGGGGAAACTTTTGAGTATTTTTGAACAGAGAACTGAACAGAGACAAGACCGTCTGTTTAATAAATTCTTTGGAATTAAGGAAAAGGACTCACATGACAGTGTAGCGAAACACATAGCAAAGCTGGAAAAACTTTGGGTTGAGCTACAGGACGAAACTTGGAAAGAAGATAAAGTTAAGCTTCCTGATTCATTATTCCAAAATAGGGTGTTGAATACGTTGCCCTGTGAATATAGTGAATTCATTAACGCTTGGGAGTCTGTACCGAAGGATCTGAGGACACTGTCATTATTGAGAGAGAGACTGTGTACGGTTGAAATGAGAATGAAGGAGCGAGTAGTTGTAGGTGTAAAGGAGTCTAATGCTGGATTTTACACTGGTTCAAAACATAAAACTTTCTCACAACCTAACTCTAACCGTGTGAAATCAACATCAAGCATAATTACTGTCAGTGATGTTAGAGCTGAAAATAAGAAAAAGAAATGGAGACCTAAATGTTTTTCATGTAACCAGCTTGGTCACATGAAGAGGGATTGTCCTAATGTCAAACAGTCACTAAAACCTGGAAGTGCTTTTGTTGGATATTGTGGTCGCTCACAAGTATGTATCGAAGAATCTAATTGGATTGTAGATTCTGGAGCTACGCAGCACATGACAATGAACAGATCATGGTTTGTGACGTACGAGGCATTTTCAACAGTTAAGCATGTTGGAGTTGGAAATGGTCAAACCATGGAAGCACTCGGCAAGGGAAACATAATTGTAGAGATGATTGTGGGAGGAAAATGCCAGAGAAATCATTTGGAAGATGTTTGGTATGTTCCTGAAGTAGGAAAGAGCTTATTTTCTATTTCCTCTACGTTGGACAAAGGTATAATTTCTACTTTCAGCGAGGACAAATGTAATTTTTTCAAGAATGGTGTTTTGGTTGCTCAATCACATAGAAAGAATGGATTTTTCATTATGAATATGAAAGTTATTCCTATTAAAGATGCTGAAGCTCAAGTTGCTTTGAGAGATGATTTACAACTGTGGCATGAGAGATTAGGGCATCAAAATAAGCGTTATGTTTTGACCAACCTGAAGAAAAATGGTATTGAATTCTCAAATTCAGATACTAAGTCTGAGATATGTGACGCTTGTATTGTTGGCAAAATGCATCGGTTGAGTTTTGGTACTCGCAAAATACTTGTTAATCAACATGGTGATCGCATAAATGCTGATGTTTGTGGCTCAATGCCTGTGTTATCAGTTGGTGGCGATCGATATTTTGTTGACTTCAAGGAGCCTGTGGAACAAAACAAAAAGTTTCCTACAACTGAAACCAACTCTTCAACAACTGCAAGCTTACCTGACGAAGAAGGACAGAGGTATAGTTTCAGAGACAGATCAAAATTGAAGCCTCCTGTGAAACTTGCTGATTGTGCCCTTCTGACATGTGTTGCAGAACCTACTAAGTGCAAGGAAGCGGTGACATGCAAGGATTCTCATCATTGGGTCAAGGAGATGGATGAGGAAATAAAGGTGCTTAGTCCAGTGTTCTGGTGTAGTAAATATCAGAAATGTGTAGCTTTGTCAACTACAGAATTTGAGTTGATTGCTGCAGATTGCTGCAAGTTTGGCTGTAGGGGAAGCAGTGTGGCTCAAGAGAATACTTCAAGATGTAAGGATACATGAGCAGCAGTTTTCTTTTCTGAGTAAAGTGTCATTTTTTAGGGGAAGTGTTGAGATAAAAAATGATTTACTCAGTCCTGTAGGCTCAACAGCTGTATAATGTAATTCTGATTATTATAATGTTAGTTTGTTTAAGTTGTTATGTAAACAAACTATTAGTCTATTAAATGGTTCTCTAACAGTTCTTACATTTCTTTTATCCTACTAATAAAATCAGTTTATTACAACAATAGCAATGTAAATTAAATGAATCTTTGAACAACTGTCATTTTGCGCAGGATCAACCTTTTGAAGTGCGGTTTGCAGCATTGTATTCTACTAAAAAAGACCTTTAATTTGATGTGCATATTGACCTATGCTTCCATTTAAGATTTTCTTCCGACTCCTTGTGGGCCGTCCCCCTGAAGAGTTATTGGATCACTGAATAACATCTTATCATCAATCTTATCAATATGGTCTTATCATCTTTAAAATAGAGTTTTATGCCCTGTAACTTTGTACCAAGTATTGTAGCTCTATCTGCATTATTTTTTAAAATATTTAACTGTCCAGGGACTTTTTTACCACCCTGTATATATATATATATATATATATATATATATATATATATATATATATATATATATATATATATATATATATATAAACACATATATAAACATTTGAACGAATGATGTTTTTGACCTCTGGGGACATGAAATGAAATGAAATAGTAAATCGGTTTCGGGCCTAGGTCTTATTATGAGACCTACGATAATAGCTACTTCCCTATAGGGAAATTGGCTAAAATTGATCAAAATATGTTCATAAACAAGCAAACTACAACAGTTTACTTATTCTCAAAGTAACTTATTCTAAAATTGAACTCATTGTTTTAATTTTTACATTTGCAGGTAAAAGTGGATCAGGAAGTTTAAAAGAGATAATTGATTCAGAGGCTGAGGCATCCCTGAGTCAAATTATTTTTTAAAGGATTTTATGCAATTTTACTGATAACTGTATATTAGTAGTGTCCCACTCTTGTTGTTTTACAGGAAGCGTATCCTGCGTTGTTCAGTCAGTTGCAAGGGACAGTGAGACGTATGAAGGCAATGACTGATTGGCTGAGGAGTGAGGGTGTGATGTCCCTCCCAGATGTAAACGCCATGTTGTCCTTGACACGTAACCACAGTACTCTACATGTGTTGCAGTCTACCACTCACTTTGTGGGCCTTCACCACACAAACCTGCACCGTCTGCTTGTACAACTTGAAGGTTAATACAAGTTATGTATTTTACTGCTTCTCAAAGTAATAGCCATTTTGGCGAGGCTAGTGCCGCCACTAGTGAATGTTTCTACACTCTTGTACACAATGGATGCGAGAGATGCTATTAAATAAATTTGCTTTTATGCATAAACTAGCTGTTACCCATTGGCTTCGTCCGATATAATTTTGTGTTTTATTACAACTAAGAACCCACTGAAAGCTGAAATTGCCTTTTGCAATCATTTACTGCCTTTTTCTTTACCTTCATTTCATCCCCATATGGGAAGAATGAGCGTACACCTATATTACTGTTTAACTGTTCCTTTTAACAGCAGCTTAAAATGACTCCCTCTGGAACAACCTACATAATGTTTTTCACCAAAATACTATTCCCGCTATATCTCCTTTCATTTAGAATAATTATAGGCCTCCCCTTGAACTGAATTTGCCAGTAGTGCAGTTGGGGTAGCGGATTTTTATCCCCCTGGAATTTTACCCCCTGGGCAAAACTGATGTCACAAACCAGGGGGTAAAATTCCGGCCACAAACTTTTGAGTTGCACAACATCAGTTCGATGGATTATAGGTGGATTTAAACGAATATTTTCACGGTTGTAAATTTAATCAGAACACATAAAATTATAATAACCTAGAGTGCTAGAGATAATAAGGGGGCTGGAATTTTACCCCCTGGCCAGATATAGAAATAAGTGAGAATGACTAATTTTCTTCTTTCTGTATTAATTTAATTGTACACTTTTTAATATTAAGTAGTCTACTTTAATTTATTTGTAACCTTAACTAATCAAACAGGGTTTGAATTTTAATTTTGATTTTCAAGTTTCGGGATTCGATAGTAGTAGGGAAAAGCCGGTTCTGGACCAACCCACAAACCATAACCAAGACCAAGACCAGCTGTTCATCACCTGTTTATTCTTCCACTCATAGAAGAGAAAAGCCGTTTCTGGACCAGCCCCCAGTAGACTAGTGATTCGCAAATTTTAAGCTGGCTCGTGGTGACAAAGGAGTTAACCCCTTAGACGAGGCGTGCAAGAAACATGACATGTGGTATCGGGATCATAGGCGTGCCGAAGACCGATGGGTGGCATAAGAAATTGCAAGACGCCGCTTGGAATAGGGTCATGTCACCCCTCCCCTCCAGCCAGTAGAATACATATGTTTTTTCTACTCTGGGATCTAATATAGACTCTTATGGACTCAAAATCGGGAGGTAACAAAGACCCACACCACTTTTACTAGTAATATATTTATCTGTGTCCTACTCCCGGAGCCAATATGGGCTCTTATGGGAATACCTCCCCACAAAATCCAGAGGTGTCCTCCAACCCCACACATGGAGTATGTATGTTTGTCCTGTGCTGGGGTTTAATATAGACCTTATGGGGACAAATTCAACCCTTGCCTCATCACTCTGGGGCAAAAATAATTTTTTTTTAAGTTTTTTATTTTCTTACAGTGATCTCCTAGAAATTGTTTACAGTTTTCTAATGATGTTTCTTGAAATGTCATAACTGAATCCAGTTTCAGAGACCACAACTACGTATGCTGTTGTTCCGGCATCGGCTTGCGCGGTTGCGATAGCATTTACAAAATCTAACTCAATCTGGATGTCACTTTTCGAGCGATCTGTGCTCATTGGGTGGAGATGAGTGTCTATCACCAACAGCGGATAGTCATTCTTGAACTCTGAAGGAGATACAAACACATTGGTGTCTCCAAAGTTCACCAGACGATATCTGACCAACTGTTTGAGTGTTGTACAACAGTCTCCATTTGCCTTCAGTGATGTGTATGTTCTGCATTTCTTGAGGATAACGTTCTCCGTTGATTTTCACAGCGACATTTTTTATGTTACAACTATAACAACGGGAGGGGTTTTTCTTCTGGTCATTCCAACGGCTAGTTTGCAATCCCACAATAACAAATTTCGGGTTGTATACATTTCTATAAACGTTTGTGATATCGAAGTTGAACGAGGCCCCGAAAACACCTTTCTTCTAATACACTGCCACTGGTAATAGTTGTATACCAATTTGCTATGATCACTCAAACGGGTCAACCCATCGATCAATTGAATCTTGCTAGTGGCTGTATACTCGACTAATGGAACTCGAAGAACGAAAGATTTGATTTTGACTTTTCCCTCATCCGGTATCGTGTCTGTCATGGCTGATCCTTTCCAAACGAATAGAGCATCGTTATCTTCAGCACGGGTGAATACGACTTTGAATCCACGTTTGTACATATGATTTACAAACCTTTAACACGAAACGATTACAGATAGGCCTATCAATTCAAGCTTTGTGTTTGCAATGGGGGAGGACACGATTTCATAAAATTTGCTTCTTTAAATTTACTGTATACTATAGTATTACACATCTACCATGGCCATAGTATTCTACCACGTCACCTAAACAATAGAGAAAAATAAATTATTAAAGATTCGTAAAATATCACAAATGATTACAAAACAAACATGCAACATTTACAAAAAAAAAAAGAAAGTATTTACAACATGTTATACATATTTATGTGTAGGTAATTGAATACACTACAAGATCATTATGTTGGTTTGAAGTAACAAAATTTGCTACAAAAGTTGTATACCAAATACTGTGAATTTTTTTTCTCACGAAATCGCTAAAATATAAAAACATTATTTTATATACATATGTAAAATTTATGACTTTTTTTGATTCCTTACTTCATTAGCTTTACAAACATGTATATATCATTATTAGTATACACATATATTATATAACTTTTTACAACATAAACTAACACTATACGGTTTTAAATTTTTTCGGTTCTCCGTTTGTCATTATATTTTGCCCCAAATGTTCAGTTCTTTTATCTAAAATTTTTTTTAGCCTGTTTAGAATTTTTGAATTACTAAAACAGCTGATGATTTAAAGATAATCCATTGTATTATATAAATAAACATTATTCCTTTCTTTCCTTCTTGTAAACATGACTTTTTTTTTCTCTCTTAATTTCTCATTAATTTACTCAAACACTCCTCATTATTTAATGGTCCTTCGATCCAAGATATTACTTAAGCGATTTGGAATTACTTTCTTCCACTAAAACTCTTCATACATCAATATTTCCTCATTTTACCCATTGTTTTATGTGCCTTTGAACTCTTACCCAACCGAACTCTTATTTCCATTTTGGAACTCCTCAACCTGTTCATTTACACTTTTTGAATTTTTTACATTTATCTCCTCATTTTTGTACAATGGCATCTCCAAATAGTGATTTTAAAATTGAGACTTATACAAGACTCACATCTTTTATTAAAGTTCGTATGAACAAAATAAAAAACATCATAGATCAACTTGTTGAACAAGAAGAAACATTAACATTTGTGCAACACGAAGCCCTAAAGACTCTTATGCAAGAAGCCCAGAAGAAGAAAGAAGACTTTGATTCTTATTTTCAGCGAATTGTAAGTACATCAAGTGAAGATGATTTGGATAATGAAACTATAAGTCAAGATGAAGATCAAATCAATGACCTATTCATCCACATTACAAGCTATATAAAATCTCTGCTTCCTGAAAGTGGCTCTAGCCCGGATTCGCACAAGGTTGGTTGCAACCCAGCTCAATCTCAGGTACGTTTACCTAAATTTGAACTCTCAAAATTTGATGGAGATCTAACTAATTGGAAATCATTCATAAATTTATATGACTCCACTATCCACACCAATGACTCTTTGTCTAGTGTAATAAAATTTCAATACCTTTTGAGTGTATTGGACAAAGAGCCACTAAATTTGATTCGAAGTCTCCAAATTACTGGACCCAATTATACAGTAGCATACAATTTGTTGAGAGAAAGATACCACAATGACAGGCGTCTACAACTTTTACATTTAAATCAACTGCTAGATCTACCTAACATTTCTAGTTCAAAAATCACTGGTGTGAGAGATTTTGTCAACCGTTTCAATGAAAACACTCAAGCTTTATCAGCATTGAACTATGATGTCCAAGACTCTAACTTGTTGTTGTCCGTAGTCTTATTAAGAAAGTTGGATCTTAATCTTCGTCACAAATTAGAATCAGTTTGTAACAAATTTGATACATCAGATCATTCACTGCATACTTCAAAACAGATAATTACTTTCCTTAATAATGAATGCACTTATTTTGAGGATGCTATGCTGTCCCAAAACATGACCAGTAATGAACTACAAATGACACCCAAATATTCCTTGAACACTAACAAAAGGTTCCCACATCACAGAACTACTACAGTGAATGTAGCCAAACCTTTGTTTAATACTCAACAAGACAATCGACCAACACCAACTACATGTTTTTTTGTAATCAACAAAGTCATAAAATCTACTCGTGTTCAAAATTCCTTGCCATGTCCCCACATGAAAGGTACCAGTTGGTTAAACAATCTCAAAAATGTATTTCATGTCTCGGATCACATGCATCAAAATTTTGTCAATCTAAGCATAGACAAAAAGAATTAAATATAGACCTTCAGCTGTGCTGCGGTTACCATAAGTTCTGGCGCACACCGCTGGGATCGCCACGGTAGTTACAGCGTACGCGCTACGTAAACTACAGCGGTGTGCGCCGGAACTTATGGTAACCATGGTAACCGCAGCACGGCTGACAGTCTATATTTCATTCTTTTTGTCTATGATCTAAGTCATCTTGCAAAAAGTGTGGAAATCACAAGCAGCACACACTGTTGCATTTTGATCATGTCGAAACTGCATGGTTTGACAAAAGTACCAACAAAAGTACCTACAAAAGTAACAAAGTTTCACTTAGTTCTAACCAGTTAAACAATCACATTGATGATCAAGAATCGTCTAAGATGATTCCAAACACATCTGTTTCTCTAGTGTTACCACATCAGTATATGCAAACAAATCTCAAAGAAAATTGTACTACTGTCTTACTTGAGGAACATTGTTGGTAAAAATCAGTTCCTCTTCTGGTGAGCCACATGTGTTTCGAGCTCTTCTTGACTTGGGCAGTATGTGTAATTTAATAACCGAACATGCAGCTAGGATCTTGAATTTAAAAAGAACCAAGTCCAATATCCAACTATCAGGAATCAATCAACATGTAACAACCAACAGAGGGCAGATTTTAATTGATCTCCAAACTATGTCTGGTAAAATGGTAGTCGAAGCTCAACCTGCTCTCGTCCTTGAAAAGTTGACAGTTGATGTTCCTCGTTCATCCATTGCATCTAAAGTCACTCAACTCACTCAACAGTATAACCTGGCTGATCCTTCCTTTCACATACAGAGTCGTATTGATCTCATCATTGGAAATGCAATTTTCCCTCAACTTCTCACTCAAAACCAATTTTCACTTGGGCCTAACTTACCTACTGCTTTAGGAACTCGATTCGGTTTTGTACTTATGGGTACCGCTCCTTGCTCCCTCACAAACCCGGTGATTACCAATAACACACCTGCCACTTCACTCAATGTTTGTTTACTGTCAAAAAGTGACGTCGATTTACACGCTTCCTTACAACGCTTTTGGGTGCAAGAAGAACCCCCTACATCACCCAGTCTAACTCATGAAGAGGCACTGTGTGACCAACACTTCAGAAAAACTGTTACTCGTGATGAAAATGGACGTTACATTGTTCGTTTGCCTTTCAAAGACTCTTCAGATCATTTTCTAGGTGATTCCAAGCCAGCTGCTGAAACACGTTTGTATGCTATGGACCGGAAGTTTCGTTCAAATGATCAGTTTTCACAACTCTATCATGACTCTATAAATGTAACCTAACTGAACTCATCAAGTCCAGCTCAACCTCAAAGAACTACTGCAGTGCATGTAATCAAACCGAACTCATCAAGTCAGTTTCAAATCAAAGGCAACGACATTATACAACATGGAAAAAAACTCATCACATTAAAGAGGCCAGTGACAATCACAATACCTAAGTTCGCAAACACGATGATTAGAAATACCACAAAGACAGTGACAAAACCTCAACCAACGAATACAGATACAACAGTGAGCTCAACTACCTTGACAAGTGACAGTGCTGATCAACCAACGAATACAGATACAACAGTGAGCTCAACTACCTTGACAAGTGATAGTGCTGCCATCCAACCTACCAACATTGCTGTCATCCCAAGAGACAGTACTGTTATCCATCCTACCGATTATGATACCACCCATCCTACCGATCGTGTTGCTGTTAAACCAACAGACAGTGGCACCGCTAACACAACCCACAGTGCAACCACTACAGTAGGAGTAGACAGTCAAGCAATCCAGGCAAGTGGTTGAATTTTCCGATGAAGCTCTGGACAAAGGCTACTGCCAACATCACAAACAACAGAGGAAGCGCTCATCCTCCAATCTCAACTTGTTGAATTACTGAAACAAGAGTGCTTTGAATTGAAGAAATGTGTTATGAACTGTCAAGACTTGTTCACTTCTGTTACTCAATCTCATCATAAAACACCAAATTTCCTTCAAAACTCTGATGCTCAACATTTCAAAGAGCTAGGACTTCGGTGGTCTCCAGTGTAACTACTTACTCAATTTTAATTAAAAATTTCATTTCATTGCTTTACCATTCCTGAAACCCTAAAACATATTTCAGTTCATATTTCTCAAGCTTCCCGAACTTTGTAATTCAACCCATTATTTGCTGTTTTCAATACCCAATCGCTGTAGCTGTCATTCTTAATCATCATTTCCTGTTTACTGTACTTTTCCAATGATCAGACAGTTTGGGCTTGTTCCCTAAAGTAAGTGCAAGCTACGCATCCGTTTTCCTGTGACAGAGACAGAAAAGAAGTCAATAAACTTCTGGAAGCATCGACACGTGTGCTAATCACGTGGACTCACAAAAACCAATCAGCGGTAAGAAGACCCTGACTGTATGACGTATCACCACCCGATTGGCGGAGAGCACCCCCCGATTGGCATCTTCACGACCCTCTAAATTACCTGAAGAAGAGTTGAGCAGTCTCCTAGAATTCGGCTTAACGTGCGTGAGTCTCCAGTCTCCAAAATCGTAATATGTTCCGTTGAAGTGTCGCGCGCGTGTGTTGTGTGTGAATGTGAAGTTTAGATCCCATGGCCTGTTGTCACTTTAGTGACAGAAGTTAGGTTGTGTAACATCAAGTGAAATATGTATGTACCATTTTAAATCCATTGTAATCATAATTTATTTGAATTCTAAATCTGCTTGCTCACTCACAAAATAATTAAAAGGGAATGTTTTAAAACTTTGTTTCTCTCTTCCTAGAGAGAGTTTGTTCAAGTATAAACTTAGTTTTGTTTTATTAGTTTTCCTTTAAATTTTATTTCATTTTAACAATTTACTTTTATATTTCTAATTCATACTTTTAATTTATTATTTTATTTTTCAAAACACTCCATCTCCCTGGTCTTTTGACTTCAATCTTTTGATCTTGGGTTTAGTTCTTTCTTTTAAAATACCCGTTCTTTGCTGGTCTTTTGCCATTTATAATTATTGCTTTTACAAAAGTTTGTCAGTTCAATTTGTACTCAATGTTTCTGTAATTGTTTTTTTCTCTTAATTGCTTTATTACATTCCTCTTGTAACAGAATGTCTGTGTTTTATTGTTTGTGTACCTCAAACTCATGTCAAGCGAGCTCTAACAAATTAAATTAATTACCAATTCTTAAATAAAGCTTACACCAGCAACTGTTTTTAAGGCGTTTCCCAGCAAAGATGGTATAGGTTGAAAAGGAGAAGTAGAAAAATGCAAACAGATGCTATAGCCGGCCTACAACAAACTTTTGTGTTAGGTAATGTGTTTTGTTCTAAACTAACTGTTGAAGTGAGGACACTTCCAAGGCCGGGAGTATGTTCAGATCTTTTATCTAAAATTTTTTCTTAGCCTGTTTAGAATTTTTAAATTACTGTACTAAAACAGCTGATGATTTAAAGATAATCCATTGTATTATATAAATAAACATTATTCCTTTCTGTTCTTCTTGTAAACATGACTTTTATTTTTTCTCTCTTAATTTTTCATTAATTTACTCAAACACTCCACACCAAAAACTTATAAAAAAAAATGTTTTCCTAACATGTTATATATTTTTATGTAGGGAATTAGATTGTCTACAAAATGAATATAATGAATTTCCCATAAAAAATCCATAGGAAAAAAATAACGGCCGCTTTTGAAATTTCACAAAAAAAAAATCAATTTTTTTTCACTTTACCCATAAAATACACTGTCTACATCATTATGATATTACTATTTCTAGATTCTCCTGTTCTTTCCGAACAAAATGAATATGAGGTTGGCTAGGTTTACTTGTACGGTTGAATTTTTACAAATGTTCTCCAAAAAAGTTCTGCAAAATCGCCAAAATGGGTTGGCCATTCCCCACTTCTAACATTGGCCACTGCTAGGGTTATAAGTTCTGAGGTGAGGATTTTAAAAGTAAATATTGATTGGTCTCCATGGCTGCCATGAGAACACATACAATGTTTGCAATTTGCTATGCACCTAAATGTAAACAAGCTGAACTGTCAAACCACATTAATTCACAATTCCACAGCTGGTTTATAAATACCTAGGCATATAATATTCTCTACAATCATGTGACATGTTATTTATTCTTACATTTGACGGTTCATTTATTATTGACTAGCTGTAACCCGCGGGCTTTGCCCCGTTTAACTTCTTAATTTTTAAGATTATCTCGTTCGCATGGCTCAATCACGTCCTGGTTGAAGTTTGTTCGCTACGCTCACTCACCTTTTAAGTTGGAACTCGTTCGCTACGCTCACTCACCTTTAGGTTGGAGCTCGTTCGCTGCGCTCACTTGCCTTCAGGTTAGCTCGTTCGCTACGCTAACTCGCCTCCAGGTTGAAGTTCGTTCGCTACGCTCACTCACCTTTTGGTTGCAAATTACCTGTTGTCATAAATGTAAAAGAAATAATAGTGCTGCACCCTGTTGGTAATCCTTGTAACTTTAATGCTATTGAACATCATAGAACAGAACCAACTTGTTTAGTTGAAACAGCTGTTAAGATTCAATAATTCCATTTCTCATAAGGTTAACATGGGAAACTCCAGAGCCACTGGGGCGGAGCCCGAAAGGATTTTTGAAATAAGAATATGCCTATATGTTAATCGGGAATGTGAGCTATCATCATGCCAAATTTCAGCCCAATCCGACCAGTATTTTTCGCGTTCACTTGTCACAAACATACATCCATACATCCATACATCTATACATCCAAACTTTCTCATTTATAATATTAGTAGGATTTATAATATTAGTAGGATTTTATGAAAAAAGTGAGATTGTATATCTGTTGCTGTATCTAACCCTAATTAATTATTTAAAATTTCGCTAATGTGAATAATTGTATTAAAAGATTTTGGTGTAAAAAATAGTGAAATTATAAAGTTCACGCTTGAATCATTTTAACATTTTTGAACAATTAACATGTGTTAAGAGTAGGACACACATCTGAAAAATTTAAACTTTTTTCTCACAGAGATAATTAATTGTATATTTTTGCCACTTTAAGAGAAATATTGTTCACACCATTTGCCTTTTCACAAATTTTTAAATCATAATTTCATATTACTACCCATAGATTAGTTATGATGTTTTCTAATCCAGAGGTAGCTACTACCTATCTATATTCTTGTATTTATATACCCTGCTAGTCTTGGTACTGCTGCATTCTGGGCGCGTAATGCAGCAAAAGTACAAGTACGGGGTCACGCGAAGGGCCAAGGTTTCGTTTGGGTTCGGTGCCGGGATGTCACTTACTTTAGTGTCTACCTCACTCCCAACGAGGCCATCCGTGAATTTCGTGAGAAGATAGATCGCCTGGAAGAGAGCGTGCGCAATACCACAGGACACGTCGTCGTGGGTGGGGATTTTAATGCTAGGGCTGTCGAGTGGGGAATGACCCTCACCAATTCCCGGGGCAAGTACATTCTGGACTTTGCTGCCAGAGCCGGACTCGTTGTCGTCAACGAGGGAAACACGCCAACTTTCCGGCGCCCTGGGATTCGGGGAACGATCCCAGACATAACCCTTGCATCTGAGTCCCTTTTGCCAAGGATAAGAGCCTGGAGAGTCCTGGAGGATTACACGGGCAGTGACCACCAGTACATTATTTTTGATGTCCTGGATGGTCATCAGAGACAAGTAGCCGCGTTTCGTCAAGTGCCCGTTTGATGGAATATTAAAAAATTGGACGTGGTAAAATTCAATGAAGCCATCTTACGAGGAACACCGGTGGTTCCCCCCGCAACTAGCGTGGCTCACGCAGAGGTGTTAGTTACATCCATGATGGGACTAATCGTCTCGGCTTGCGATGAGTCTATGCCTCGCAGGAGATCCCGGTGCAATAAGCGACCTGTGTACTGGTGGACTGCCGAGATTGCGGAATTGCGTCGGTCAGCATTGAGAGCCAGACTTGCTACCAGGGCCAGAGAACCTGTAGACAGACGTCGTAAGTTGGATGCCTACAGAGTGGCTAGGAGGTCTCTTCGTCGAGCCATCAACCGGAGTAAACGCAGTTGCTGGGAGACATTAAGGGACGATATCGATTCCAATCCGTGGGGCTTGGGTTACAAACTTGTAACCAAGAAACTTGGCACCCGCTCTCCACCTTCCGTCATGGATGGGGCCACTATGGAGAGGATAGTCGAGTCCCTTTTCCCGGCTCACACGTTGCGCCCACTGCGGGATTTTGGAAGGGTGGATGACGTACCACTTTTCAGTCCTTTAGAGGTGGAGGGGGCCGTCCTATCCCT